AGTTTTCTCAGGTCCCAAGTCAGGGCTCTTCACGCTTAATACAAAGCTACGCAAATATTTAACCATAGAACAACGGAGGGGGCTCACTTTCAAGGTTGTGTAGATTCTAACCAATGGTTTTAAAGCTAAATTTTAACAAAATCGTTGTTAATAAACGTAAATTACAAAAAAAAATTGTGACCATTCGACAGATAGTACTTCTGTAGTTTACTATGTTAGTCAACTTTGTTTTAATTTGATTACGGCTAGACCCTTTGCAGTTGCCGTGGTCGCGGGAGGACTGCAAAGCAGCCGAAACGAATTATAAATAACCTTTACCTAATATATTTCGCGTTTTAAACAGCTTTTATTTAAATGTAAACATTCTAAACAAGAGTGACTTGTCACTAAGCAATCCCTTTGACAAAGTAACATTTAAAACTGTATTTCTTACTTTCCACAGTACATGATCATTTGATTATCAATGGTTCAGAACAAGCTCTACATTGGTACTGCGTTATCTATGAAGTGTGGTTAATCTTTCAACGTCTGTGATTAATTCCCTGTGCTGTCGGCTCTGTTTCAACTGCATTCCCATGTCCGATGTCGTCTTTCCACGGCCTATTTAATACAATAACGATACAATTTCTCTTTGTTATGACGTCTTTAGGTATTTGGTTTTGTTTATTCCATATTAAGCCATATATATGTAGCAATTTATTCCTTTTAACATTAAGAAACCGCACTTTAATTAGTTACATTTTCATAAACATGTTTAAGTATTAAGTCCAAAAGTATGGAAGATATTTTCTAAAGTACAGTACCTTTTTCCTTCATTGAGAATTAGGGATGCCTTCAATACCAAAATCTTAACTTTACGATGTAGCTAAATTAAACCTTTTAATATTCTATTCGATCACTATTTTTTTTAACAAGTTCCGGACAATTGCCTAATATATCAAAGTTTTTACAGCCACACGCGGCTCTCATGAGAGAATGCCATGGTTTATTATCTTGACGGAAGCGTTATGGGTGAGACAGGAAACACTCAATTCACTAAATAACACCAAAACTAGAACCTAGAACATTCAATGCTATTTCGAAATTGTATGGGCACAATGGCGATTTTTTTTGAATAAACCACCTTTCGTGCTTTGAATCCCATGCTGCGCGCGCGCCGTGCAACACGCATTGTCCCCCCGAATACATTGAACCGCCTCTCCGCTTGAATAAAAAGTACGAATTTGTTAACAATGGTGGGTAATAAAAATTCGTGAACGTATCTTTACTGATAAAAGGAAGAGAAATGCAAATACATTTTTTGTGATAATATTGTTCTTACAGTATTGACTATTGATTAATGGAGGTGATCACCCCACTTCCTTCCTCGTGACGGTGGTTATAAGTGGAACAAAGGACGGGACTTCCGATCAGCTGCCGTACACCCCTACTTTTTGTGGCTTCGTCTAACAAGTTCGTTAGTCATGCGCTATATTAATTTTATAAAGTAATTTTAATTTAAGCACCTTTAAGCAAATTGCTAATACGAATTCATTAACATAAAAATAAAGATAATTTGCTGTAAATAATTTATATATATTTTCTTATTACTAAATCCACACATAAAAACGATTTACATTTAAACAAATAATATACTTTTTATTCCGGCTCGAAAGACCAAATATTTTTTTGTGTTGGTACATGATACATTGATAATTTTAACTCATTTCTTAGTCGGTACCCAGCTTTCCAACGCACATATGAATGAATCTCGATCAACAATGCGATATAGCGCTACACTTAGCATAATATGATTATGCAAGCATATTGCAAGAGGCAAGGCATAACATTCTTGTTATCGAATTATCCAAATTAATGCATCGTGGACTTCGTTAAATCGATAACAGTACTTTCCGCTGACTGAGCATACTCGCTGTTTTCGTCTTTTTGTAACTTGTTCAATGAAATAGAAATATGGAATAGCTTTATAAAGCGTGTACATTTTTCGTCTTTGTATATAAAAGTTAAAATTGTGGGTTCCCAAGGTTTTTTTTAATAAGCGTTTAATAAGTTGATACTTTATTAATTATTTCAAAAGTTAAAAATGAAACGTAATTTATATCTTTACCGAAATTTATAACATAACATTTCCGATGTTAACACGTAGGTACTTAAATAAAACATCTGGTCTTAGCTTATTTTTACAGTTAGTTAAGTTCAAGTTCATTAATGAATTTCTCGAGAGACATAAACGTCTTGTAAGAATTGCTTCGGTATGTTGAAAAGTGAGACACACCAGCTACGTCTGGCAGTCGTCTCTGAAGACGTGTGGGTATAATTAGCGTGGGCTACCAAAGGTCATTGTCACCGCATAGACCACTCCAAATTAAAATAAACCTATTGTTCTCAACTTGAAGTTCTGATTAAGCACAGTGAAATTATTGCAACATGAGAATGCGCGAACCGGCACCGCTTTGTATACAAATTAAGTTGTTGCTAAGTGCAGCTATAATTTTGTACTCGTATCCTGTTTGGAGCTAGCTAACTAAAGCGTTATGAGAGTTTCTATTTCATATTCAGTGGAATAGAAGCCTAAGTTCACCTGAGTTTAAGTGAAAAGGCAATAAAAGGCTAAGAAAAAGCACAACTAAAGTAGGTACCTACATATTATTATGAGTCACCTAACGAAAAAATCATATAACCGGTTTCATCTGTAATATAATTGGTAGGTATGTGAATTTAAGACTTCCAACGTACTCTTCCGTTAGAGCATAGATCTACCAGGAATCATTCTGAAGCAATTAACTTACCCATGCTTTTTCTTTATCATTACTATTAAATTATTCTTGGACCCATAAGTGAACGGATCTATAACGGTTCGACAAAGTGTTTTTGATAACTTACTGTAACATGGCGGACGTTAAATAAATGTTACTTAAACAAACATAGTATGTTTCTCTCACAATAGACAATACTTTAATCGGATATTCGTGCGATCGTTTTTCAATTGTTAAAAATAGCTTCTCCAGGACACCATTGTTTTAAGAGTTCTTTGAAAACATGACATATAATATTACAGTACGTATAAGGCCGTGATAATAAAATAATATTTTTTTGAATTGTGCAAGGCTTTCGCGTGCACTATTCTACTTAGGTTTTAGAGGGGTTCTAATTGAGAAATGGTTCTCGACGTTAAGAAATTAGGAGTGGCTGACATAATGAGCAGATGTAAAGCGTTCCTTGACTAATCGAAGACTAACCAGGTCCTGAACAGGTGGAAAACTCAACGAACGGCTGACTTATAAATATATATTTTTTTTAATATAGAGGAGGTCAGAGACAAGCAGGGGTTCATTTGATTGGAGGTGCCTTGTCAACCTATTTTGGCTTTAAATATTCGAAAATCCACAGACTAAATTCGACACGCGACTAATCTTAACGCCTTTTTCACTTGCGGATAGTGGTTCGTAACTCAGACGGAATTTCGGTATTCCTTCCCATCCATTTAATATCCAGATTTCCAGACAAAGTCCAATATGTTTGAGAAAAATTATAAATTGATTTGAAACGTGTTAAACCCGGTTGGGACGGAACCCACGTCTCGTTGATATACATAGCTAATTATTATATATTATATATTAATTAAAATACATTAGACCAACGAGCCTGTTTCACATACCACATAAAGTACTAATAAATCTAAAGTACCGACCGATATGTGTCAACATTGTTGTAAATACGAAATGCAATATATCAAGCCTCGCTATAAAATGAGCAATTAGTCCTCGTGTCTGATACGATAAGCGCGGAATTACTCACCGAACTAATTTAGTGCAATTAACTTTTGCGTCTTTTGTTTGAAAGCTTTCGCTGTTTGCAAATAAATTTATCAAGATAAAAGATCGTGGTGTCCGCCCGTTTTTGCAGCTCAATGTTTAGCAGCTTGAACTTGAAGCCATGCCCAGCATTATGGTAATCAGACGAGGTCCTGAGTTCGGATCTTGGGGGAATCGAAAATAAAATGAATTTTTTTTTGACTCAGCCGGACTAGAACGGCAGCAACATCGTCAGCGTTCCGTGTTGTTGCTCTATCAATTTAGCTACCGAGTCCTACAACTCATCGGCGAATTTTTTCAAGTTGTAATAAAAATGTATAATCCCTCTCAGCGTATATTTTTTAATCAAGATTTGTACGTATAAATATCAGGATATTTAATTATTATTACTAGAAAGTATACTCAGAAAAACTAGACTCATTAGACAACCTTTTACCTCGATCTTTTTGAAAAAAAAAGGGTTTACCCTCACTGTTACAATATTATTTAGAGTCTGAAATAAAGGTGGAACATATCGTCATTTAATTTTTTCCATACAAGTTACATTATACTCGACGGCGGTTAAAAATTGTGAAGTGGTCGCCATAAGTAGCGCGTCATTAATATGAAGCCACATTTTTGCAAATGTCAAAAGCTCCAGGCCAGGGTCGGCTACCTGAAGGGCTTCTTTCGGAGAATTAAAAAAAATAGCTTTCCTGCCGTTCCCACAGTGACAGAGAGGGGTAACTTCTCAAGTGCGCTTTTTGTCTTGAGCATAATCCTCGAGTGAGGTAATAAATTTTGTAGAAGTATTACAATAACAAAAATTTTATAAGCAATTCACGCTCAATTATTACTGTACAGTGCTTCTTTTACTGTAGTGGTATCTTAATTTATCTCTATGAAGTAGAGCAACTGTTAAAAACTACTATATAGTAACAATAAAAATCAAACTTATAATTTCCTTAACGCAAACAGATTATTTCTTCATAATGAAGAAAATTAAGTTATAATATAGGAAGTTACTTACACGGTATCCAATAGAGTGTGTGAACAATTAATGTACCGAAAGCTAGTAAAATTTTTGCAAGCAACTCATGCGCAACATATTAAGCAAATTCGAAGCCGTTAGATTTAAGCCAGGGCTCAGATTACAAACGAGTACTTGCTTAATACGGAGCGACAGACATTCTATAGCTTGCAAAACTACACCGATCCGAGGAAAGGTATTATTGGGGACGTAAGGTGACACCGCCTTGTGGCTACCAATAGGTGTCTGTTTTTATTATGAGCGTAATTAATTTTAGCAACACATGACTTTTTCGCTTGATTAATACCGCGTGCCTTGTTGCGGGGCGAGAAGTTTGACAACGACTCTATCATGTCTAAAGGAATATAATCTCATTAAAAGCAAAAGAAATAATTCGAAAATGAAGCACTTTTTAAATTGCTTTAAAAATAAACTTGTAAGTACTTGAATTCTATTTTCAAATTTAAACTTGCTTCAGTTCAATTGCAGACCGTTTTGTAGTAAAACTTAAATTTCTAATTCTGATCTATTTCATTGATTTATTGTCTTTAAATTTACACGCGTTTTGAAAACTCCGTTAAAACACATATTTCAAACTCACTTTCAACGCTAGTTATTAAATATGAATTTAGAGGATTAGGATTACAAAATAGGGTCAATGGATGTGGCAAAAAGTACTTTGTAGGTACTCTTTTAAAGCGCGCATTCACACAATGTTGCATAATTTCCTTTGCAGTAACGATCGTATGTATGCCGCTGAGAACTTAGAAAAGTTTTAAATAACTGTAATTACACCTATGTAAGTAATATCAAAAGAGACTATAACTAACCTAAATATTGTGGTTCATTAGTTACAAGCCTTTGGTTGTAATGCACATTTTTTGTACTATGAATGTGTTGTACATTCAAAGGTATATTTGAAAACTACTTCGTAAATACTACATAATCCGTAAATTCACGGATCCAAAATCCGAGACAAATTATGTCAATGTTGTAAATATAGCTTAAAATACGACTGCCCGTATGCTATGTCAAAAAGACTGATTATGATAGACGGTATCCACGATAAGATTTACAGCACTTCCTAATAGTATTAAAGTAAGTAGAAATAGAGGTTAACTAGAGTATACTTTCACTGTCACGTATCAAGTGATCTAGGTAGCAGTTCTGCTATTTTTTATCATTATCTATAACACAATTTTAAATGTAAGTAATAATTTCTTTCGATGTTCAAATGTCGGCTCGTAGTTGTTAATTATCTAATAGGCGCTTTGTTTATAACGTGTTTCATTTATATTATATCACTCGTATAAAGTACAAAATTAATTAATTGTATGTAGTTATACGAATTTAAATAAAACACTAACGGTTTAAAACGCGATATTTCGTTAAACTTATTTGAAAATGATTTTTAACTTCGGCCCGACATTTCGGATGCTTTGCAGCAGCTGTGGTCACGGGGAAACGTTTGGCCGAAGTTAAAAATCATTTTCAAATAAGTTTAACTAATATAACGCGTTTTAAACCGAGTGTAAGATGTTTTATTTAAGTGTGTCCTACTCTCGTAAACAAGAGACAGGTATACGAATTTGTAAATATGATATACCTACCTAGAGAACATACGAATACTTTTTATGTTTAACATTTTGTACATGATAAATAATTATTTATTATTATTTAGATCTTGCTCGTTTTAGAATTTAGTGTTATGTTGTCTTTAGGCCATGATTAGGTAGTAATTATTATCGGAAGTGAAAGAACTTTAAAAGATTTCGCAAGTCTCCTAATGACTTCGCGCTCCCGGAATTCTTGATTAACCTTATCGGGCATTGAACTTGGCGAATTATTACTTAATTAACTTTTAAAATAAGTTACTAGTTACATAGAATTTGTACTTAACACAAGAACTTTCCTTAGTTTTGGAATTACGATCGCTGCGGTCCAAGCCAACATTTGTTTAAACCTAATCACGTCCTTGATTTATACTAGGACACTACCGATGTTTCTTAGGGCCGCTTCGCCTTTCATATAATTTACAATATGATATCTGATATTAGTTAAACCTGTACGCTAGAAAAGGATATAGATAACGAGCGTATTAATACTCGCTTATAGCAAATGAAGTGGACAGTATAATGCGACAAGCAACAAGTCACATCTGTCGGGCTATCGCAGGTGAAAGGTTGTGTAATTAATTGTAAACGTGACTGTTTATATTCTGAATTACTTTGTTTTTATTGGCGACAAAAATGAGCACAAACTCAAATTATCATATATAATTATACTTACAAGAACATTACAGTTACAGTAGTACAGAAATAAAACACTTTTAACGGTTTACAACGGCTGCAAAGCATCCGAAACGTCGTGTTGTACCTAGTCAAAATTATGAGTATGAATCTACCAGAAGTTCTAATAAACATCCCGTTATTATTATTATTTAGATGGTATTAACTATTAAGTTTCTGCGTTGTGAGTTACCTAGGTTAGGTACCTATATAACTCCTACCTATCTACCTAAGTAGTTTTTTTGCCTAGACGAAAAGTGTAGAGTCAGCATTAGTGAAATTGAATCAGCAATAATAATATTGTCTTTTAACATTACGAACCTTGTCGTATTTACAAAAAATAACGTCATATCTAACCAGTTAAGATAACGATAAGCTCATTTTGAATAAAATCCCTAATCTAATTTTTTCAAGTGCAAAGATGTAGAGCCCGATCGCCTTCATTGGATGTTCTTGAAATTATCTCGAGTAGTTTTTATGGTTCACATTGGAATCTGGATGTTTTTTCCCATTGCGGGCCCAACGCCCAAACAGGTTTTTAGATAGCTCAGTAATGCATCAAGCCGGTAAGTTTTTGTAAGGCGGCATGCTCAAGCGTAAATAAGCTTTACAAACGTGCATTTTATCTAACATTAGATGACTGTTATTGACTAGAGCTGTATTATATGGTATTATCTGCAGTGCGTGTGGTCGTACATGTAATACCGATCCCACAGACTGCATAACTACGGGCTTAAAAATGCGATATGCTTCTCTACATAATAAAAAAACATGAAAATTTGAGTTATATCTTTCACAAATAATGCCCTGTATATTATAAATAAACGTAACTGTTAATTCTTCTAATTTCGACAAACTAGGCTGTACACTAAATATGTAGTTTATTACATTACATACACAGTAGGAAAAAACGCGCGAAATATAATAAGCCACAGGTTAATTATTCCTTATCTATTAGAGATATCGTACAGATAACAAAAACAATGTTTACAGGTTTTACCACTGATAAAGCGAACATAATCTAGGTTGCTTTTTATTCAGCCAGTAAATAAACATTGAGGTCAAATTCACGCTACGATACCAATGTTTACCGAGCAAACTATTAGACTTAACAGTTCTTTCGACTCACAAGCAAATTAATGAATACTTACGGACTGGCACTTTCTTCGGGTCATACTTCTCGACTAGCTCACTGATTGTCTCGATCTTAGCCTGGGCAGTCTTCGAACGTTCTCTTATGACTTCCAACTGTCCTGTCAGCTCACTGAATATGTCCTCAGCCAAGAGGACCAGCGAAGCGAGTTGACGGAGAGCATTGCTCAGGGTACAGTTCGTCACAGCTTGAAGTTCTTCATCTGTGACCTTCTGCTTGCCGTTCTCATCCCGTAAACTCGTTCTCGAAAGAAACGTCGGTTCCACCACTCGCTCCACGAAAGGCATCGCGATGGAAGTAAAAGAACAAATTCATCCACTTATTCACCCATTCCCGCGCTGTATATTAAACTTAATTCCGCCATTCATTCAACACACTTCACAAAAAACGTCAGGTAACCGCCACTTTAAATTAACCGACATCCTGACCGGTGGGCTTTCACTTAAAGGTGTATTATTTATTTTATGCAGTTTCGATATTAGTTACATAGATTGCTTACACTTAATTCATAATATTGAAATTCAAAAGTTTGTATAAAAGTTTTCATATACACGAAATCCCGCCATTACTAGTAAAATGCGGTACACAACCCTACACACCCGCTGCTCGAAGCAGAATAAAATTTATTGCTTAGAACCAGTGCTGCCACCTTCTACAGTTTGTTGTCCCTAATACCTAATTAAATTTCTTAGATAACAATTAAACATAGCACCAAAATACAAACAAAAATGTGCATTTTTTTTATCATTCCTTCTATTAATATGAGATATTTTATATAAAGTTGAAATAATTGTCATGAAACATATATTTAGCTATTATAATACAGCACCGCATAAAGAGCCATGTTAGAGGGAAGATAATTATTAAACTACTAAAGTAGAATAAAAGTATACATTTCAAATAGAATAATGACAAATTACTCTTAAATTATTACTAATTATTTTAATAGTCTTAACAAAACAAAATATGGAAGAAGTTTCTTTATACATGGCAACATTCTTACATTGAAAACAGCGCACTCTATTATTTTTTGTATAACAACTACTTATTCTTGATTCCGTAGTCTTCTAGTTCTTCTCTCTTATGTAAATTACTTACTAGATGGCGCTGATAAAAATTTAGTATTATTAATGTTTCAACTTTTTAATTACAGAGGGCCCTTTAAGCAACGTAAAATAAGTATAATTATTATATCATTATTTTTATTATTTACTTTAATATAATATGATTGCTATGAACGTTGTGTTCCAAAGTCTGTTGTTATTCATAGATAATAAAATACCTTCGTAGCAGAAATAATATATTTTTGATATAACAAAGCGCACATTAGATAAATCCACATCACCCTTTTACTAATAATACTGTATTTTTTATTGCTAAACATAATTAACATTTAAATACGCTTAGCAACTATGACATTTATTATATCAGCATCAACATCGTTAATTATACTTCTAACAATGCTTACTTTACGTATAATACTTGCTTAAGGTGATAATATAACCATATACCTTTAACTTATGTTACAAGGTCACTGCCAAAAACATTTAAAATATGGCGGATACAATTGTAAGTTATAGAGAGTTAAATAACGTTTTGCATAATAATAATATAATGATTAGGTACATATTGAAAGAGAGAACTACGCGATGTAGGTATATTATCTACTAGTTATACATTATATACACTTTTATTTGTTTCTACTTTAAAAAGCTAACTACAACGACAACAATTAACAATGATATGCGATGTCTTTTATCATCTTTGACTTGGTAACATTCTTGACTTATGGTTGGTACTTTATCGATGATTCGACTGGTGATAAATTTCGGTGATCACGCGTATATTATTCTTCACTTTTTATGGGATATGTTAAACACTTAATAAAATGGCAGTGTTTTTAATAATTATTATAAACTGCTTTCTATCCTTACCATATATAAATGGTTATATAAATATTCTAATATGTGCGACTGTATAACTGTAAGCCCTACAATTAACCTATTATATAGATTGAATAAGTGTTTTAGAGAAGAAACACCGAAATGTTGGCATACACAACTATTGATATAGGGTCTCATTTAAGAAATTAATAATTTAAAAAATATTGGTGGGATTTGAACTTAGCAAGTTGTTCTAAAAACATATTTTCAATCACGAGTAATATATAGCAATTATATTCACGCTAGTTCACACTACTTCGTTCGCGTACAATAGTTATTTGTGTACCCAAATTTGTTTTTGCAAACCCCTTCATCTTATAAACTTAAACTGTTATCCACGACGTCGGTCGCATCCCTTCTCGTTGTTCTTGCAAGTAATTCTTAAAAGATAGACATAGAGCCTCGCGGCCTTTTTTTAGGTCATTTAAAGAGGGATTCCTCTTGATTGAATATGTATGAAGAATCATTATTATTTCATAGATATTGAAGCCCCTAATAATAAATCATTTTCCCAAATTTTGTCTCATTTCTCGCTTTATCTTCGCTTGTATTACTCACAGGACGATTTTATAGCCTAAGCCTTCCTCGATAAATGCTCTAGCCAACACAAAAAAGTTTTCAATTCGACCTCGTAATTCCTGAGATTAGCGCGTTCAAACAAACAAACTCTTCAGCTTTATAATTTAAACAGCAGTATAAATTAACAAAAAACACTATAATATATTATCACGGAACATGTAAAGTTTTATCTATCATATTTACCATAATATTATATAATATAAATTACATTTTACATTCAATAATAAATAACTATTAATAGTAACTATTTGTAGCCTCACTATTAGCTTTCATTTGTTATTTGTAAATACATGGTACGTAATATTACATTTTTTACTGAAAAATACTTATTTTTATGTTTAATTGGTTTCAGTTTAGTTAATTTCTCTCATTGACTAAATTTTTCTTTTTTGATATTTTGCTGTGATATGCGATCGGCTTAAAACTATTTACATAGTGTGTGTATAATATAATATAATAGATAAGTGTTTATCGTTTCTGTATTTATTAAAAATAGCCTTGTTATAAGGTATATTGACTAGATACATCTAATTATAACAAAAAACTAATAATAATACAAACGCTAATAGGATATGTCAAGTTATCAATTTACTGGGTGATGGATTACCAAGATATGTTAAGAATTAAATATTCGCCATTTTGTAAACAATATGTCACAAAGGAAATCTTTATTTTAACTACAGGTATATAAGATTCAAATGAAACACTTGACTTAGACGGAAAATTAATTAGTTGGACTCGGTAGCTCAATTGGTAGAGCAACAGCACGAAACGCTGACGATGCCGGTTTAAGTCCTGCCCGAGTCGAAAAATGTTTTCAAATTATTTTCGATTTTAAATTAGTTAGACCGTAGTTAAAATGAATTGAAAATACATTGACTAATTTATTTCCCGTTTTAAACTGTTAAAAGTGTTTTTAAATAACAATACTTATATATACCATGGTATTAGGTACAGTAACAGTATTATATGACATGTTATTGATAGCTACGCGTTTAGTAATACATACAAAGCTTAAATCTACGAAAGGTTTTTACGAAGATTACTGACATAGATAAGAATGCTTACAAAGATATAGGTCCTACCTACACAGATAACAAACATTGATGATGACAACGACGCAAAAACATTCTACGCGTCTTTACTTCACTATCAAACATTGTTTTTTTGGCTTACAAGGACTTTAACTTTTAATTAAATAAAATGTAACATTCAGACATCTTTCCTTCAGAATACCTACTACTGTCCTCCAATAAGTTTTTGTTTTTCTTTCTTAATAACATCTAAAAAAGATAAACTGATATGTTATGCTCTACATGCTTTGTTCTCTAAAAATTATATCAATAACTTAATAAATTAGGACTAGAATCAATCCAGTACAAATAAAAAAATAAAGATTTTTCTACTACAATTTAATTCGACTCTAAGTAACGCTGTAGATACTTCTCACTTCAAAAATCTCAAGCAAATGCTATTAACATAAATAAAATATGAAAATGATAAAATAAAGCTGTGAATGAAAAAATGTGAAATAAAGCTCACGTGTTGAAATATCTGGCATTAAGCGATTGACACAGACTAGACAGTAGACATTTAATAAATGTTAAACGAATAAGGACGAGTACAGTTACAATACTAAACACCGATTATCTTAAATCTAAAACAAGTCTAACAATAAGCGCAAATAAACGAGTACTCGTCACGTCACACGCCTTAGCACTAGGATATTGCCTATCTCATCTAGAATGTTGACATCTTTGGAAGCGAATAGAACCAAGCGATTCCTTTATATCGGTTGTCACTTCTAGCTTCTCCCACAGATAATAACCATTCGTATACAATTCAAGAAGGTTTACCTTGTGAAAAGTTTTTAAGTAAGTATGGTTGCCTTTACATTTGTAGGCGATGAATGTTTTCTAATACAATCACATATCTTTTAAAGTATTCTAGGTTATTAAATTAACCTGTTTCGCTTAGAAAATAATATTGTCTAAATATTAAGTAGAGAAAGGAGGACAGACAAGCATATGACTTTTCACTTGATGGGATGTGAAATACCCCGGCCACATAAAAGCTACACAAGATGCGTTGTCGGGCTGTTTTGGCTTTGGATATTATTAGATCTTTAAATTACTTAAAAATTGGTAAATATTAAACAGTCTTAAAAGTAGTTTCTTTGATGAATTAGAACATGCCACGACAAGGCATCTAAGAAGGAATGCATGAGGTATGCTTCTCTTAAAAGTTGAAAGAATACATCGACAATCAAATAAACCTAGAGGTCCTATTTTGTTTTTGGTTTTTTAATGCTTAGTTATTTATGGTCACGACGAAAATAATTGCCAAAAGTTTTTTTGTTTAGATTATTAGAGTCGAATTCAAGACTTCTCTCGAGACTTTGGATGCTTTGCTAAGGTAAACCATCATGAATACCACTAACACCACCTAGTGACGGCGACCAGACCTCTTACGGTCAGTGAAAGAGCCCCTCATCTATTTGCGCACTCCTCGCTACGGATCAACTTCGTGGCAGACCTCCATGTAGTCAGGGTCGTGCATGATGTCTTTGATCATGTCCTTCAGCATCGTGTATCGGGGCACCATCGGGTACACTTTGGAGCTGACGTAGTCCTTCTGCGAAATTTTAATACTAGATTTAGTGCGATCCTTTTTTCTATGGCAGAGAAGATCAGACTAGAATCGAAAAAAAACGTATATTGATAATGATGCACTGTGACCTATTTGTGAATTAGTATAGGTTGTTTAGGACCGCCTCTGTAGCCAAATGGTAATGCCTAATTGGTCGAATCTCAGGGAAACAAAAAAATGTTTCGGTCGGGTAGAGCACAGAAGTCTGTTCAACTACTTGCCTCTTAATAGAACGGACACATAAATGTGTTCGACCAATGCCCCATTCAAACTAAAACTCAAACCATTTATTTCACAAGACAGAATAAATAACTTACTTTAACTTAATTCACAAACATAAGTTTTTTAAATTGTACTTTTTTTTCACGTTTCGTCTGAAAGGGCATATTGTTTTGTATGTACAAATAATAATCACGTTAGAAATATGACTACCTTGAGTTCCCTAATAAGATTTCGCAGTCCCGTGTATTTTTTCAGTAGACGGTATAAATCATTTGTCATTTGCGTGTTCTCTGCCTCAATCTGCGATGTTGTCATATCTGAAATAAATGAAACATATACGTGACGAATTATATCGAGGTAATTTGAGCGATTATATGTTGTCCCGTATTCCATGTACATAATCTAAACCAGATAACTGTGTCCGTTTCGTAGATCAATTCTATTCACAGACAATTCAACAGACAAGATGCTCCTCCTTCTCTATGTTATGTTCTATATATTATTATTTATGTACAGTCCTTAGTGTACGCGAGAAATACACATTTAAATTAAGTTAGTTAAACCGATTTAGACTTACATTTATTTTTACTACGGCCCGACGTTTAGGATGCTTTGCGATGCGATTTTTCTTTAAATACGAGGACACAGATGGCGCTGGCGTTGGTATACTTTTTGACTTTGACATTAGGAACACCGGGAAACACGTCGGGCCGTAGTTAAAATAAATCGTAAATAAGTTTAACTTATACTTTTCTTGTTTTAAACCGTTAGATAGTGTTTTATTTAAATTATAATTAATTTCAAGACTTGAACCCAGGGATCATTCGTGCTTTTGTAATATCGTTTTATTACTGAATAGGTAGAGATGTGACGAATGTTGTGTAGGAAATTAAAGACCATAATAATTATATTGAAATTATAATCGTGCTGATGTTGATGACAAAACGATAATAATGTACCATGTGGGCTGTATGACTCACGGATTTACCCCATAAATCACCATAAACCCAATGACACGTCAATTGCTTATTGATTTTTCATACTAAAGTACTTAATCAATCATTCATTGATGTTATATGGTGAGACGTATAAAACGCGTAATTATGTACGTCTTAAGCATGTATATTACGCAATAGCTGTAGTTTACGCGAGTAATATACGTTTAAAAAAAAAATAACGGTTTAAAACGCGATATGTATAAGTTAAACTTTTGCAAACGCTAAGATACCGTTAGTCAATTCTGCAAGGACAAATATTTACGACGGAACAGATGGCGTTAGGTAGCAAGTTTTACTTTGACATCAGAGACACTCCATCTTTAGTGTCCCCGTGACCACGGCTGCTGCAAAGCATCCGAAACGTCGCGCCGTAGTTAAATAATTTTCCAATAAGTTTAACCAATATATATCGCGTTTTAAACCGTTACAGTGCTTTATTCAAATAAGAACTTAATGCTAATATGATTTGAATGTACGGAAGCTGCTTCTAGACCTTACACCTTCAAGAACGGGTCCCTTAGTCTTGAAATATACCATTTAATCTTTCCAAGCGCTCCCTCTTATCAGCTGCCTCCTCTGCTAACTTTGCGGATGTCTTGACACCTTCTCCAGATTTCTGTGTCCTCTCCATGATAGCACAAGCGCGGAGGACAAACGCCGGCACGGTTTCCGCTTTCTCTTGCTTCGGGATTTCAACGAGAGACCAATATTGCGTTTCTAGGCGTATTACGTCCTGAAAAAAAATATTGAAATGTTTCTCTATACAAACAATTCTAGAGTAGTTTGTATAGGCTATATAAAAAATGTGTACTAAATTATTACTTCACATGTACATACTTTTACTAACGCATTTATATTTTGTAACTAGTAGAGAAAGAGAAGTATAAAGATAGTACATTTTTCATGTGTTTTTCTTAATATTGTATATTATAAGACCTTGTAATAATTTAGTATAATAAAAATGTTTTGGTAATATCTATGAAGAAACTTGTATAAAACACGTGGTTATGGCTGCTTATTAGCCTCTGAAATGTCGGGTCGGATTTAAGCGGTTTAAAGTGTTTTATATGTGTACTCAACCTTTGAAAGTATTGTCTGTTTAAATAAAACACTTTAACGGTTTAAAACGGGAAATATATTAGTTAAACTTATTTAAAAGAGATTTTAACTACGGCCTGACGTTTCGGAGGCTTTGTAGCAGCCGTGATCACGGAGGACTTCCTTGAAACGTCGAAAGTTTAACTAATATATTTCACTTTTTAAACCGTTAAAGCGTTTTGTTTGAACTCCTTATGTTAAGTATTATTTTTATACCCTATATCATACTCTCTCTATATATCACTTTACAAAACCACTCATAGCTATGTAAATAGTACGAAAAACAATACTATAGTGAACAGAGATAAAATTCAAAGTTAGTGGCATAATGAAACGCTCCATTTAACTTAATTCGAACAAACTGCTATCATCGAACCAAGTGCATTCGTGTTCAAAGTGCATAAGTTGGTGTTGGAAGCCGTCCAATTTCTGGCGATAAAGACTTGCTTCCTAAATTTATAAGGAAGGATGTTGAGGTTGGGGAAATTTTAAAGGTATTAAGCGACCACAATGTAGGGATTAAAGCTCAATTACGTAGGTTTAAGTTAAACGAAATAGTTAATGTTTTCCTTGTTCTACCATGGTTAACCGTTAAGAAGTAGGCTGAAATTACTAGTGAGTAATCACATAAGTAGTGAGTATCATAGTGACGATTGAAACAGTAGTAGTGAAACAGTAGTTTCGGCCGAGTAGGACACATACGTATTATCAACTACTTCTTTGTAAGTACTTTGAAGCGATAAATGAAACAGATACAGACAGTGAATTGATTCTTAATATTAAACTGTCATAACTAATTTCGGGTCCATTTTATTTATATATGAATCATACAGTTAATCAGAGTCAATAACTCATTCAAACCCAAATCGACTTTTTCGTAAAATAATGCGATCTAAATACTGTCTATAGTTTACGCGAGTAGTACACATTTAAATAAAACACTTTAACGGTTTATAACGCGATTCCCCGTGACCGCTGCAGTTATTTTCAAATAAGTTTAACTAATATATCGCGTTTTAAACCGTTAAAGTGTTTTATTTAAATAATGGGATCTATTTTTCGTACAAGCTACAATATCGCAAGTTCAAATCATTAAGTCAGAGAGGCGAACCTTGAATTGAAGATTAGTTTAGTAAAATATGATGTCATTATAATACTAGTAGAACACGACGTAATTGTCTGTAAAACTTTTTAGCGGTCTTATTTATTTATTTATTTATTTATCGTTTATTTGGTATTCCTACAGCTACATAGTATACATAGGTTAAACATACTTAACACTAAACATTAGCCAAAACAGGATTACACAATTAGAAAAAAATACTATGTTAAAGAGCACAAAAAGGAATATGGTGTAAAAAACTTAAGTTGAGTATAGAAGATTTACAAACATTGCTAATCTTATGACATGTAATATTTGCACAATATATATGTACATACACATCTAATATGTTGACTTGTCATAACAAATTGAAAAACGTCTCCTTCCGAAACAAGAAACATTTCTCTTTCGCCTTGTTTTATTTATTTCAGAAGTTTTAAACAAGAAACGCGACGTTTCGTTTCAGTAATTTTGAGTTATAAACAATATTTTTGTCATAACGGCTACAAAGTAGGGTCGGCCTCTGGTCTCGGGGGAGATTTGGGAAATGAACGCAACTTTGAGACTTCGCCTTTTAAGGTTATTTTGTGGGGAGAGTCCCGTGGGAGTTTGTCGAGATTGATTTCAGTTAAAAACATTGATGACCAGTATAGATGGGACTGATTTGAATGTAAAGTCGGGAGAAAGGTTTTACCCGAAATGTTATTTTGCGTTGCAAAAGCTTTTGGATTGAATTTACTGGTAAATGTATTAATCATAAATAGTAAAGTGTAGCTTGTTCACTTAGGATTCTCAAAATATAATGTTTCTATTTAAGAGACTTCAGTTACATTATCTTAAGTTACGTAAAGAATTAAAATAGTTTATTTCTTCGTTAAAGTTAAACAAACTTAGTTTAATTCAATGTTTCAGTTACATTGGGGATACCCTCGATTCAAAATCCCTGTCGAGGCGTAGTAAAAAAAAATTCAAAATAATGTCATTAATATATTTCATGTTTGAAACCGATAAAAATATTTTATTAAAATTAACGTTCACTTCTATTTCAAATACGGGTCGTGATGTATTTATCGGTTTGAGGAGGTATTTCTTCCTTATTTAGTAACTACCCACAATAATGAAAATACTTGTTCTTTTGAAACGAACCATCTAGATTCTAGAACATTTCACGTGTAACCCGATTTAACAAAGGAATTACGCTCCACATTGAACTGACACTGCACCCAGGATAACGAAATTGTGCCCAGGGCGCACAGTTTTGTAGCATGCGCTTTTAAATTTTATCCCTCTACAAATTTGCTTTGCTCAAACTCAAACACTAAAGTTTTACTTAATTATTTTTTGTATTATTTTGTACATAATAAATAACAGTTGGAGGGTATAATAAGAGCATATTAATATTATTATTTATTATGTAATATACTATTAGATTTATCAAGGACTTATTAATGCAGCCCCAAACTAACCCTGGTAATGGCACGAGGAAAAGAAACAAGAGATCTCAATTACTTATAAGTTATTTTATATTTGATGATTAATTATATTAATAATAAATAAATTATATAATTAATTGTTAAGTAGTAGACATATCGATCGCTAATGATTAAAAACGTGAAGCACAATCGAATAATGTGTATCTAGTGTGTTTATCGTTAACGTTGGGATAAATTGCTTTTATTAATATTATATATATATTAACCTATTTTGTTGACTGCTCGGCTTCCATTTAATAAAAGCTTGCGTAACTATGTTTTGGATAATGTAGCTTTGCTTAAAAATACTCGGTTGATGTTTTTTTTTCATTTATAAGGCAACTGTGAAGGTACGGCGTGCGACTGAAGGTAACTTACATTAAATAGACTTAAAAAAAAACTTTTTAGGGTTAAAAACGGGAATTTTTTATTAAATTTTTTTAAAAATGGTTTTATCTTCCGCCCGGCGTTTTGGTTTTTTTGCGGCAGCCGTGGTCGCGGGGAGACTGACACGGCTTTAAATAGACTTATCTCGTCGAAAAGGTTAAAATAATTTAAAATCACTTAAAATTTTACTTATGCTTCAATGAGCCCTAAATCTTTGTCATTAGTTGCAACTAAGTGCTTTAACATCTTAAAAAGTAAAATTATATATTAGTTTAAATGTTACTCATTAATCTTTAACATTTAAATAAGGACGGGGTATTTGGCAGGTGACCAATGTTACTGTGTTTTACTTTTAAGTATAATATCCCCTTAAGAGCTTAAGAGCAGTTCTTAATAGATCTTAAAATAACTGACCTTTCGTATGCATTACTTATACTTAGTTCAACTTTAAGTATCACCTTGATACCTTTAAGCTTGTTTTGAAGCTTTCAACGAGGTACGATAGCTACAATTATGAGGATCTTTTTTTTGTATATTTTGTTTCACAGATCTTTTGCATCTCATCGTCTTTAATAAAAAGGTGTCTTGAAAACTTTATTATTTTTTACATGTTATTGCACATTAAGGCACTATATAATTTAAAGATGGAAAATGAATTGAAAAAAAATTTCGGTAGCTCAATTGGAGAGCAACAGCACGGAACGCTGACGATGCCGGTTCAAGTGATGCCCGAGTCGAAAATTTGTTTAATTTATTTTCCATCTTTAAATTAAAAAGTTGTCTGTTAGCGGTACGAGCGCCCATTGCACTCTATGGCAGTCTTGTTTGTATTATTTAACGTATTAAACAGTCATTTAATAAGTAATTAATGTTCAAAAGCTTTAAAATTGTATGACACGTTATTCCACATTATTATTTATTTTATTCCATTAATCTAATATATGTAGCGTATATAAGTCTAAGAATGAAATAAAATTTTACTTTAATACTTAGTAACTTAATTCCAATTGGTACCTATCCTTACAAGTATATTTTTAAAGGAATTAAATAAACTTAAAATCTAACAGAAATATACATACATATTATTATTTAATTTTCAAAAAACAAATTTGTTTTTAAATAAAACCACTTTAACGGTTTTAAACGCTGTATATTATAGTTAAACTTGTTTGGAAATTATTTTTAACTACGGCCCGACGTTTCGGATGCTTTTTTGCAGCCGTGGTCACGGGGAGACTCTTCCCAAACTTTTCAAACAAGTTTAACTAAAATATATCGCATTTTAAATCATTAAAGTGTTTTATTTAAATGTGTACAACAGACAGTATTTGAACTAAATGTTGGGAATATATTTCCTACACTTAAGTTTTCATAAAAGTCCCGAGCGTGGGAACAATTGCATTAATATTCAAACGTTACAAGTCGAGACATTTGTAGTAATTTGCTCCGTCCAACTTATAAGTTAATTTCTCAGCTGCATTGTGGAGGACTAATGGATTCACAATTTAATATCGCTTTGTTGCTGGCAAAAACCTAATAACGACGCGATAGTTTTAATTTAACAAAAAAATGTGTTTATTATTTGTCTTTTTTTTTAAATTAAATTATTTGATATCTGTTCTTTAGACACTTTTCGTTAGGTAGATAGGGCATTTTTTTCTGGTTTCTTAAAAT